AGAAAGAAATACATGTACTACCTAAGTGAGAGAAGCATTTCAAGAACAGCTCCAAACTGGGAGCTATTTAAAATTTACTCCTAATGAGTGAATTTTAAATGGGTATCTAGGTCGGTCAATATATGTTATTTCTATATTATAACGTCTCAGAACATGTAGAATCAAACACAAAATAATTAAACAATCTATTTTTCAAAAACAATGTATATCACAATGAAAAATTTCAACTTCAACATGTACACAAAACATATATAGTAAATTAAATATTAACTTAATGCAAAAATATATAAACAAATAATAGTATAATTAAATATTTAAAGCTAAAAAAATACCTTAAGGAAGGGACGACGGCTTGGCGACGGCGGGGCAGCAAAAACGGCTTGGCGACGGAGGCAGGGTGAGGTGGTCGTCGACGTTGTCGCCGTTCCCTTGGAGACAGCGACTCTTACAACGGCGAACGTCGAGGTGAGGTGGACGAAGGCGGCGCAATTAGACCAGATTTGGGGGCGACATGGGAAAGGCGACAGCGTGGTGTGGAGTTGAAGACGACGGAGAGCACGACGAAGACGAAGAACGGAATTGGAGGTTTTTTATTTCAAAAACGCGAAGGATAAGGTAGGGTTGGCTAATTTTATCACACTCTTTTGGATCGGTTATTACTAATAACCGATTCAAAAGGTATTTAAATCGGTTATCCGTAATAACCGATCCAAAAGATGGTCAGCTTTTAAATCGGTTATCCGTGATAACCGATTCAAATACTTTTTGCATCGGTTATTACGGATAACTGATCCAAAAGCTAAGCGATACGCGAATTTTTTTTTGCATTTACATCGTTTGTTTAGCTTAACGATGCAAATGAGGCGATTTATTTGGTCATTTTTGTACTAGTGAGGAGGATTTTCTTATTTCACTTGTGGTGTTGATTACAAGTGCAAGTATGCAATATATATAGGAAGAGTGCATCTAGGGTTTCGTAAAATGGGCCGGGCCAAAAGTCAAGCCCAAGCCTCCACAAACCCAACATTCTCCCACTTGGAGGCTTGATAGTCATCAACTGCCATCCACCACGATTCCCTGTACATCGAGTAATCTTCCTCAGCTCTCCTGTTGCAGCGGCCCTATCATCAGACAACTGAAAGGCCCGTTGAAGCTCTCCCAAGCTCCAACACATCAGTCACGGCAAAATCTGCCCCTGAGAACAAACACTCTCCATACTCAGCAAGAAATTTTCTGGAGATGTTCCAACAGTTGGAATGCTGGTTCTCCTGACCCACTGTCTTCTAGGCAACTTGGCTGAAGCGCCTCTTGAGCTCCCACTACCACAAATACCTCTGACTGGCCCCCTTGAACCTTTCCATGCTCGTTCATCCTAAGTCTGACCAGTGGCTCTAGGTTTCTCTCTTGCACAGACAACCTTATTCTGCCCACGAGACTCTGTGAACCGGACTTCGTTTTTCTTCTGAACTGGACAGTCACTCCCTCAGATGGTAACTCGACCATATACAACGAACCTCTCTTCCCTCCACGGGCCATGACAAGATTTCCCTTCACAACCTTCCACTGCCCATCTCTGAACTTCACCTCGTGTCCCTGTTCGTCCAACTGCCTGACAGAAATCAAACTTTTCTTCAAGGCTAGAACAATTTTGACATCCTTCAAAGTCCAGAAACCAGCTGGGGTCTTCAGCACTATGTCTGTAACGCCCCAAAATATACCCTAGAATTATTAATGAATAAATAATCAATTAATCAAATTTGTTTTGATTAAAATAAATTATTGTTGGGCTTTGGGCCGATACGAAATTTGTTTTGACATCTAATATCAAAATCTGGATAAGTCTCATAGAGATAAATCCAATATGTGGACTATTTGTGTTGTCTTGATTGAGAACCTGAGTACAGACCCAAAAGAAGAGTAAATAAAGAATTTGTTTAGAATGTAAATATTGAAATAATTTGTTGAAATAAATCACGAGAATAATTGATATGAATTAAATGAGAGAACCTTTTATGAGAAAGGATTAAACCAATTTTTACTCTGTTAAAGTCAAACACCCAAAAATGTGGTGTCGGAAAAAGTATAACGAACGAATATAAAAATTATATCGTTGGATAGAGTTCGACTGTCTGATCGCAACGGTGCAAGCGGATTTCAATTCGGAGAAAGTTGAACCAAAAAGTGTACCCCGACTGGAACCAAAAATTGGTCCCAATCAGGGACACTGTGCGAACGGCGCCTCCTCCTCCACTCAGCCGATTCCTACGTAGAAGCAGCTCAGCAATGTCCTCTTCCCCTTCATCAACTCCTATATAAGGAGTACTCAAAACCTTCAAACATGCATCATTTTTTCTCAAAATTAGCCCATATAAATCCTGAGAGTGAGGAGAGTGGTCTGGTGTTGTTGATTGTTGTTGAAGTCGCCGGAGCTAGCCACAAACCTCGCCGGAAGTTTCG